GCAGGTTTGGCACTGGGCTGGTAACCCAATCTTACACAAACAGACATACTCATATTCTTCAAAAGAAGATGCTGAACTGAATAAAGTGATGACAAGGCAAATGGGTCAACAATGGAAATATCATGCGCAATGAATGGAAGACAGGTGGATTCTGTAGAAAATTCTGACACACAGCCTAAGAAGAAAACAAAACACAGGATGCTAACAGTTACAATGGAGAGATCAGCATACTCTTCAAGATGACTGAACAGACCACATATGCCTAATCCGTGAAGACGAAAATGATTATGGTAGATATTTTTGTTTCAGAGGAACCTGCCACATCTACATTTACAGAAGACCATGAAGCTGGAGGCAGCAGGTTCCTCCAAAGCACTGGTTCACCTTTAACAGACTACAATCTTCACATCTCACATAGAACTAAATTACAATTCATTAATGTCACTTTCAGCATAGAAATTTGAATAAGTAGTAGGAAATAGTCAGGTGGAAAGACCCTGGTGGCAGAAGAAATACACAAGATATATAAATCGATCCACTGGATCCTTGTAAAACAAGGAAAATAGGATAGAATATAGAAGTATGTACCTGTTTCTTGTGGGGTACTTTACAACAAAGTAAACAGCTAGATTATACAGCACGCTGTTCAATGATAGGATACTGGATAAATTGGAAAGATTCTGAAGGATCCAGTTATGGTTTAATCAAGATACTATCCCACAACTTACTTGGAGGAACTTGGTAAAACCATGAAGTATTCAATCATGATAACTGGTTTTCTGGCTGAGATTCAAACTAGCACCCTTGGGATATGGGTCTCAGACTGTTACTGCTACACAAACCCATTCAGCATAATGTACCTGTTATAGCATGCAGAGAGATATTACTGGGTTGTGGCACAGTGAACAACTTATCACCATATCAATGACTGCACATGCAACAGAGGAACACATCACATCTACAGTGACATTATGCAACAAGAAGAGAGCTGCGGGAAGCGGTGCTGCCACGTGGTCCAGCACCAGATGGAGACTGCTGCTGCAATGGAACATGTAATACCACACCAGCCACATCAACAGAGGAATGGTGTTTTCTGTGGGGTCCGCTCTGAAGCTATATCACTCAACCGACTGAGGTGAGTTCAGTCAGTGGAGCGGAATGGAGCTACAGTTAGTGGGGTTGAGTTGAGTTAAGTGTCTTGAGACAGAAGTCAGAAGAGGAGGAGTTAGTTGTGAGACAGCTGCCAGCCTGTAAGGGCATGAACACCAAAGCTGAGGAAGCTATGGCATTGGAGGCCATTACCAGGCAACAAATGGTGAAGATACAGCAAGCTGAGAAGACTTAGTCTGCATTGTAGTGATTTGTAGTGTGCGTGAATTAGTGACAGCACTATAGTTACTTGTAGTTATAATATATAAGTGTTCAATAAATCCAATTACAAATCCAGACCCCATATACAAGGTGGTTCAAATATGACTGGGACTAACTTTTTTTTTTTAAAAACCATAATTGCCGAACACTTACTTGCACATGCCAGTCTTCAACATACTCCCCTCTGGAGTCAACACATTCTTTCCAACATTCTGGAAGCATCCTGATGCCCTTTTCAAAAAAGGCTTGTGGTTGGTGGCGTATCCACTCCCGAACAGTCTGGATGACGGCATCGTTGTCCACAAACCGCATGCCTTGCAAGTCTGATTTGAGCCTTCCGAACAAGCAGCAATCACTCAGGGGCAAATCAGAACTGTACGGCAGATGTGTTAGAAGGTTCATTTCAATTTATGGAGGACTTCCATTGTTCTTTTGGCTGTATGGGGGCGTGCATTGTCTTGAAGGAAGGCTACCCGCTTTCCACCTCTCTTCCGCTTGGATTGGATCTTTTCCTTCACGTCTGTTGCCAGGAGGTACGAGTAATAAGCTGACTGGCACCTTGCATGCGCACCATTTTCTTCACATCTGTCAAAGTGTGTGGTACCCACCGTGCATTCACCTTGCAACAGTGCAAGTGGTATTTCACGATGTCTTCTACACTACCAACACTGATTGACAGCATTGCTCCAAGTTCCTTGATAGTGATGTGCCTATTCTCACAAATAAGCGTGTCTGCATGACCAATGTTTGGCTTGGTGATGGATGTTTGCGGCCGATGATCATGCGGTTCATTCTCCATGCACTCTCTGCCCTCTCTGAAGCACTTACATCACTCAAACACACGGGTCCATGAGAGACACTCTTCCCCATACTGTTGTTGGAGTCTGTGGTGAATTTCAGCGGATGGGACTTTTCTCCGAGGAATCTGATCACAATGCGTTGTTCCACGCTCCGTGATACCTTCTGTTCGCTCATCACTCTAACAGTTCCCAGACAGGACTGAACAGGTTCTAACCTGAACAGGAGGGAGGGTGGAGGTTGTGGCTTCACTCTCTCGAGGTCACACAGCTGCTGCGCAGTGTGGCTTGTTTACACACAAATCAGTCCCGGTCATACTTGAACCACCTTGTATAATCACTCGAATCACGTGACACTATCATTGTATAATCACTCCAATGACATGACACTATCATAAAATGATGGTGCTATTCAGACATTTTTGTCTGCAGCAGGTTAATGATCCTGGCTAACCTGTAATGCTTGCAGTATAAGGATGAGTCTAAGCAGGTGCTTACAAATGGCACATCTTTTAAAAAATGTGTGACAATGACCAATAACACCGTAACATTTATTGTTCTCTGGAACAGTTACTGTCTCACTGCAAACAGCCATTTACAATTCTGTCACGTCAGTTCTTTCCTGTCCACTACCATTTCACTATACGCCACCACTGCCTTCTTCCTGCAGCTTACACTGAACAAGCTTGCAAGTCCCAGCACTTTCGACTTCGTGTCTGGCTCCATATATGACCACTCTACACCACTACTCAGCATGGAAAGAGACTATGAATGAACCCAAGACTGTCCTCTCCTAGTCCTGCAACCATGGTTCCATGCCCAGTCCTTCTAAAATTGCCTTACACATTTGTGAGTGAAAAGTCTAGAGAGAAGGGAGGGAAAAGTTTCAATGCGTATAGAAAGAGAGGCATGCACAAGAGCAATGGACCACCTAGGGCTATTCTCTATAAAGGTCCTGGTTCAACGTTGTCACAGTTCATGTTGAATTGTGGAGAACAAAGTGAGTGAAATGGTGAACCTCACTCAGATTCTCACAGCAGTGATTATGAAGAGTGCTATGTTCTGGGATGTGATGACATATTTTCTTGTAGAGGTTCACTGATGTTTCAGGGGAATATAATGCCTCCATCATCCAGGTCAAAGAGTAAGTCACACAAGTAATCGGCTGGAAGCTTGCTGTCTGTTTCTTGCTGGGTACATAGTTGGTGTGAGTACATTCTTCTAAAAAAGTCAAACTTTTACTGGAGTACAGAATGTGACATCTCAGATGACAGCACTATTCAAAGTAACTAACACTATTCAATTCAGTAAGACTGTCGTTGCTGCTGACAACTGATACAATTCACATTTCTAAAACATGTTTGCCCTCAGTCCAGCCTTCAATATCTGATCTCATCATTTCCTGCCTTAGGAAAAGAACAAATTGCCCTTAACACAGAACACGTAGATAGCGGTTCCCAAGTTCAGATTATGATGCCAACATTTTGATTCCCTACATAATATGTAAAATACAGAACCTAATTTTAAATTTTAACTGAAGCACACCTTACATTCTCACCAAAATCAATATATACTTATTCTTCTCCAGCTACAAGAACACAAGTTTTAACATCTGTAAGTTGGAGTGGCATAGATACAGTTTGCAAGACTAATAATGACACATTTTTTGGATTTGATGATCAAATTTATGGACCTTTACACACCAGGTTATAACAGTTCACAAATTACTATCTGACGCACTGTCATCTTCTTCCTACGGGACACTCCACTGGGACTATTATGACTTTGAACTGAACTCCTTTGTATGCAGCTGTATTCCTTGCACTCCTTTGTACTCCTACAATTCTTCTGACTGTGACCTCTCTGAACGTCTTGGCACGGACACCACGGAAAACTCTGTCTTCTGTTGTCAAGAATACGTGTTTATTGGTCCCTTACGTAGCAATGGTTGTCCTTCCATTGTTGACAGCATAACCTCAGGAATGTGTTTACCAATCTGCTGCCTAGCAATGGCCATGTGTGTCACACCATATGAAATCACACACACACACACAAACACACACACACACACTAGTGCACTAGTAAAAACAACACCACACGCTGTGGAGTAAACACGCAAACCAGGGGCATATGGCAATCATAACTGAAAAGTAGACTACGAACATGAGGGGCAAGCGGCCGAAACAAAACACCCTGGACATACATTTATGAGCAATGGACGACACCCCATGTGAGGTGAAATAAAATGCACCAAAATAACGTGTGTATAATAGAAACTTTAATGGATTTTATCTTGTTTTACTTTGAAAAGAGAACTACAGCGTGTGATTTTAACATGGACTAACACAGTTTAATAACATATTTGTAACATATCAAGACACCTGAAGATGGTCATTTGGGGCCGAAAAATGTAGTGTCAAAGTGTATAATGTTAAATTAAAATTAAGTAGTGAATAAACAAGTGTTGCAATATTGACGCATGATAAATACATGGACATTAAGTTAAACAATTGCAACAGGATGCTAAAATACAGAATTAAGATGGATCTTAGAGAGATAGGATATGGTGATGTGAACTAGACTGATCTAGCTCCGGATAGGGACCAGTGGACGGCTCTTGTTAATACAGTAATGAAACTTTGGGTTCCATAAAATATTGGGAAATTCTTGAGTATCTGTGCAACTGGCAGCCTCTGAAGAGCTCAGCTCCATCAATTTGGTTACTTAGTTGTGGAAGTTTAAAGCATTAATTGACTATTATCTAATTACTGACTTTGCTTGACAATCATAAACTTGGGGAAGAATACAGAACAAAACCAGCACTCAACTTACCAACATGTCCAATAAAGACGACATTGACATGTTCTTTCTTACTCTTGGTTTCTTCAGGTCTGTTGACAAGTCGTTTCTTGGGCTTGATAACTTCTTCTGCTTCCTCATCTTCATCTTCCTCGCCTTCTGGTTCATTTTCAGGTGTCAAAAGAGGGTCATTATCTCCATCAGCTGCTTCCTCCCAGCTGTCTGCAGGAGGCGGAGGCGCCCCATCCCCTGGAGGTTCCTCTACTTCAATCCCTCGACAGGATGCCTCATCTGCAACCGTTCCACCTTCAATGAACACACATAATACAACAAAAATTTAATCAGTCAAACATCATACCTATGACTGTCAACTGGGAGTTTAACTGTAAAATATTACAAGAAATTATTAAGTGAAAATTAAATTATATTACTACAAGTACACTATCATTGAAGTGTTTGATACAGGCTCATAAACTTCATAATCAGACTGCTATCTGCAGACTGTCGGAAGTATGTCACTCCATTCTAACCTACATTCTCATTTGCTTTATGATTATCGTATTCTCTGATTTGGGCATGATGCTAAACAAGGTTAAAAGAGTGTAACAAACAAGTTCATACCGTTTGTAACCGGAACCTCTCCATCGGTTGACTCTGGAGAATCTGTTTTCGGGAGGGGTTCAGCTTGTCTTGGTAGGAATGAAGGCACAAATTCGGCTGCGTTCACGTTCAACGTGGAAAATTTCCCAGACATATCGGGGGATTCGCTATGGTCGCCCGAACCACTATCGGCTTGTTGTTCCCAGGAGTCGGGAGCTCCGTTGTTAGCCATTTTATATTATTGTTAATATTGTCCAAAAGTAGATAACACAAAAAGCCTTCCACAATTCCTTTCTCTTAAATATCCGCGTGTGTTCTCCTCCTTCACCGGAAGGTAATGGCAGAAAACGATCTGGTCCAAGTTTATGTTGGTATAATAATTATAAATTATGGCAAGGTGAGGGATTGCACAGAGTATAAATAAATAAATTAAGTAATAACACTTCACATCCAGCGCTAATTATGAGTAATATAATGTTATAATAATTAATTTGATTTCGCCTCACTTCACCGCTACCGCTGTTATGAGGAGTCGAAGAAGATTGAAATGTAAACTTATAAGTAGTAAAAATGTAAGACTGAAATTAGAGTTATCTATTTTAACACTATTTAATAAAGGAAACAAAATTAGTTAGCAGAATTTTTTATGTTGCAACTCACTGAATTAGTATTATATGCGACTAGAATAGTTATACCCATTGAAACGTTATTCGTCCCGCCTCTCCGCCAATCAAGAAATGAGGCAATCGAAGTTATAATAGGAATTTTCCACAGCCCTTTAGATGCACCACATTTTCGTTTTTAAAGAGAATGACAGAAACGAAATGAAAGAGTTACATTAAACAAAACATCCACTAAGAAGTTTAATGTAACTACAAATTTTACACATATTTATGTAATAAAAGCTTGAAACGATTTTCACAGTATTTTAAGCTTTATTATTCCATGACCATAAAAAAGTTTGTTGGCTGTACTGCAAAGCTGATTTAGTTCCAGTTCCGCTCGCCTGAAATTTACAAATCGAAATGGCAAGGGGCTGGGTCTAATGCGCCATGTGCGGCAGTATTTAGGTTAAGAGCATAATCCGAACCGATCTAACTTAAATTTATGAGTGATATAAGTGTATTATGATTGGTTAGAATGTTGCATATGATGTTGCTCCACGCCAAAACACCTGATTGTGAACTGTGTTTAATCAGATCCTANGAAAAGCAAATTTTTTTTTTTTTTTTTTTAACGGTTTGCCGTTTGTTGTAGGCAGAATTGTGGGATCTGTGTTTATGACAAGCTATTACTGTTTTATCTTGAAATGTCTTTTCGACGAACGTGGGGAGCCAACATTCTTAACAGATTCGTTAGGCAGTACTCTAATAGAAACGTCCTGAAACTTCATGAACGAGGAATGTTTGAAGACATATTTCCAGAGATATCAAGGTAAGCATAGCAGTTTTAGGAGTGTGGTCTATGTAAGAAAGTGATGTAAACTTGAGGTGTGTTCGTATAATTGTGCTATGTTATCGAGGTGATCACTTTTCCAGAAGGAAGTAAACGGAAGAATCGGAGTCAGGCCTGTCCGTACAAGAATGAATTTCGCTGTGAAGTGAACATATGAAATTCTCTCCCATGAACTGTAATAAACTGATCTAATGCAACCTAAACTAAAGAAGCACTCGTGCCTCATCGCCGAATTCGATTTTTTAATTCGGTCTCGGCAGTCGTCGAGTTCCTTGCTTTTGTTTATTTCTGGTTAATGCAAATTTTGTTTCTAGCAACGAAGTGACAGATCTTCTGAATGCCAAACCACAGTGTGTGTATGCAGGTTTTGATCCAACAGCCAGTAGTCTGCACCTTGGAAATCTGTTGGTATTAGTCAACTTGTTGCATTGGCAAAGAGGTGGACACAAAGTTATTGCCCTTGTAAGTTATACTTTCTGCATCAATTGAAAATCAGCTATAAATGCATGAAATTAATATAGTCATGTATGATGATTTGTGTAAGCTGTGTTTTAATAATTTTGTCTTTGAAGATTGTGGTATACAGAGGTCCTTCTGTGGTACTGCCAGCCTGGTGCAGGCCTTGACCTCATTGATGTTCCCCCAGTGGTTCCTATCCTATGCCTTTTCCTTGTTTCATAGGATTCAAATTTGTGGGTCTTGTTCAGCACTATTCAGCCACCTTGTACTCAGTTACCCTGTTCTAATATTCTCTGGTTTGCAAACTGTTAATTCTTTGCTGGGACACAATTGATTAATTGATGTAGGTGACTGTCTCTAAGAGACTTATATAATTTTGTATGAACATTGTTAAATGGACTATTTCCATATCCTGGGTTGCACCTGTACATGGATACATGGAAAATAAATGAATGAATGAACACATTTCATTTATTCTGAAGAGGAGTGCCACAGTCACATAACTCTTCCATTCACTACTTTAATTTTCCCAGACCTGTCATGTTGCTGATATTCAGAATTGTTGCAGATTCACCATAATCTGTTTTCGTTAGGAGAAACAACAGTTCTAAGAATTTGTCTTTTAAATTATTCTTGGTTTATGTCCATTGCCTTTAGTTATACTCCATTATTCATTGCCATAAACAACAATAGTGTGCAAGAACATTTAATATAGTTTCCATTTATTTAACAATGTCATATGTTGAGTGGATGGGAGCGAAGAGAAGTGCATATAAAATTTTGGTAGGAAAACTCAAAGAAAAGGGAACAGTAGGAAGCCTCAGATGTAGATCGGAGAATAATAATGAATATATTGTAAAGAGATAGAATGGGAGGGTGTAGACTGGATTCATCTGGCTCAGGATAGGGATCATTGGCAGGAGTTTGTGAACATGGTAATATACCTATGAATTCCATAAAATTGTAGAAATTTCATGAGTGGCTGAGCAAATATTGGCTTATTAAGGAGGACTGAGCTTCATAGAGTTAGTTAACTACATGCTGAAATTATGATTTATGCTCAATAATTGTCCTAGTATGTATGTATGTTAGGAGTGATATGTTATAAGCTCCACAGGTATGTCAACATGACAGTCATATACCAAACTTTTCACATGATAGTTTGTTTCTTTGATTTCACGTGGGCTAACATTACACTCTCATATATATATGTTGGCCAGCATCCCACAATTTTTGGGTTTGTAATGAATCTGTATACATTACATATTACTGTCTCTTGGGATGTGACACCATGTGTTCTGGTAGACATCACCTTTCTGGAAGAACTTGCTGTTTCCATCTTCAGGGTAGAAAAATGAATTAGAAGAGGCACTCCTCGACTCTGAAGATAATGGAAGCAGGTTCCTTCAAAATGATAACTTCCAGATGGATTGACAGCCCATAAAACAGCAGTCTTCATAGTAATCACAATAAGAGTCTCAAATACACATCTTGTTGTTTGTGAAATTTTCTCTGCATGTGCACTGCTTATGTTACAAGCATATTTCATTACAGGTTGGTGGCGCAACTGGAAGGATAGGGGATCCAAGTGGCCATGCCACTGATAGGCCAGAATTACAATCAACAATTATTAATAGCAATGTACGTTCTATAAAGGAAAGTATCCAGCGTATCTTCAGCAATCATGAGCAATATCTGTGGGACAAGTATGCAAGCACACGGACATTGACTTCACCAATGTATGTAAATGACAGTTTCCAAGTAAACGGAGAATTACACAAGAAAATAGTTTATTGTATGATTGATATGATTGAGTTTTTCTAGGATTATTGACAACGCTGACTGGTATTCAGAACAAAATGTTGTCAAGTTTGTTAGTCATGTAGGACGCCACTTCCGACTAGGCACCATGCTCTCCAGGCACAGTGTTCAGTCCAGATTGTCATCAGAAGCTGGTATGAGTTTTGCTGAGTTCTGCTATCAGGTGTTCCAAGCATATGATTGGCTTCATCTTCTACAGAGATATGACTGCAGGTTTCAAGTTGGCGGCAGTGATCAGATGGGCAACATTGTGTCTGGCCATGATCTCATCTCAAGAGTTGCAGATACCAGAGTTTATGGTACAGTACAAAGTTTCATACACCTTTATGACAAATTAACATTTCTTCCATTTATGAGAACTACACCTCAGGAAATGCTGTGAAACTTTAATTTTACACTCTCAGATCTATGTTCTCCTTGATTGTATGTGCGTTTGTTTGCTGTCAGCCAAATACCAAGAATGATGTCAAACTTGTATTGGCCGCGCCATGGCTCAAGTGGTTATTCACTGGCTTCCCACTGCAGGAGCCCAGGTTCGATCCTGTGTCTGGTTAAGTGGAATTTGTGGTGGACAAAGTGGCGCTGGGGCGGGTTTTCTCTTGGTACTTCAGTTTCCCCTGCCAATCTTCATTCCACCAAATTCTCCATCATAATCACACTGGGCAGGCTACAGTAGGCCAATCAGTGGCCACCGTGCCGAGTGGACCAAGTTGGACTCCACCCCCCACTAAGGGAATTATGTTTTCTTCAAATGCATTTAATTTTTCAAGTCCTAACTAGAAACATCCAGTTTTGTACTTAGAGTGTTGACAGTATTTGTTTGTAGGATTTTAGGTTCTCACAGCAATGGTTGTGAAGAAATGCTGTGTGGTCCAATGAAAGTCAGCTGACATTTTGGAGGAACATATTTTCCCCATCTTCAGGACTGAAGAATAAGCCACGCAAGAAACCAGTATGTAGCGGGGAGTTGCTTCTTGCTTAGCTTACTTTTCAGTCCTGAAGATGGAGGTGGTGTGTTCCCCCAAATCGTCGGTTGACTTTCACTGGATTATGTGGTGTCACATTCCAGAAGATAGAACTCTTAATATTTGTTTAATATCAATTTTGGTTTCTAACTCTTGGATCCAAACAATACTGTAGCATGTTGACCCGTTACTTGGTAATGACCTTGAAACAGACAGCAAAACAACATCCGCTGCTAGGCAACAGATTCCTAATCAGCAAGTATAAAGAGCCATTACCGAGTAATGCCTTCACAAACAAACATGTTCCCACAGAAATGATGGGAGTACAACAGTGAACAGTGTTTCTACGCAGTCTTTGCCGAGATGTTATAAGGAGGACGATTGAAATGAGAGAGAGGGCTGTAAGGGAGGCTGTGAAGAGAAGACATAGTCGGTGTAGTTGAAGAATCTCCAGTGTTAGGAGCCATTACCAGGGAATGACAGTAGTCTGAAAAGACTTAATGTGTTCTGTAGTGATTTGTAAAGCGTGGATATTAGCACTTGTGCTATAATTAAGTGTAATCATGAGTCATATGTTAAAGTGGACAATAAATCCAATTGTTAATGCAAACCCCATCTAGAGTCACTCCTTCATGTGACGCTTGGTGTCAGAAGTGGTTGGATTGGAGACTACAATGTCTTGCTATTTCACCATACTACAAAAATGGAATAAATGATGGAATGCCTGGTAGCCGCCATAGAAAAGATGCGTGCTAAGATAGGTGCAAACCAAAAGGAAGTGAAAGGACATGTCAAAGAAGAAGTGAAGACTAACCAAGAAGAAATGAAACCCAATAAAGAAATGCTGGCCAGGATGAGAGCCAAGATCGAAGCTGAAATAAAAACCAATAATGAGAAGTGTAAAGTCATTCAGAATACTCGCATCTCCTGGATGGATGTTCACCAAGCCAGGACAGAGGCCATTCAAGAAAAAATAATAGCCAAGATGGACACCCATCAGGAAAGAATGAGAGCTAGTATAAATGCCTCGTGAAAGGGGATGACTTCCTGCCAAGAAGCGACAGAGGCCTGTCTGGAGAGTAAGGAGCCAACCTCATTGGAAGAAAAAGAGTGTAGCGGTGCATGAGGAGGTCCCTAAAGAAGAGTGACAACTGTAAGATTGCTGAAGGAACAGTATATGGACTGGCATCTAGCCTTAGGGCGCCACCAACAGCTGAAGGAACAGTATATGGACTGGCATCCAGCCTTAGGGCGCCACCAACAGCTGAAGGAACAGTATATGGACTGGCATCCAGCCTTAGGGCGCCACCAACAGCTGAAGGAACAGTATATGGACTGGCATCTAGCCTTAGGGCGCCACCAACAGCTGAAGGAACAGACCCACGGTGATGGTGGGTCCAGTAAGAAGTTGGCTGTCGCCCACAGAGGGATGACACACCATGACATTCCTACACCATCCATGGGACTCGGTCATCAGGGACCAGGTAGGGACATTGATGCAAGGGGAGTCCCTAAAGGACGGATGTGTCAGTATCAGACGGATAGATCAAAATGCATTAATATCACAGTACTGATGACTAATGGTAAGTACTGTGCATAAATAGTCTTGTCCTTTCATACCATTATATATGACACATTGGACTAGATGCTGAGTATTTTTGTTGCTCTGAACTGTCACTTGATCTTACTGAATTTGCAGATGATGTGGGGTTGAGATTATATTCCTGAATGCAAAATGTGCCTATGTTTGTATATTGTTTTATTGAAGGTTTGACACTTCCACTCGTAACAACAGAATCTGGCCACAAGTTTGGTAAGACTGCTGATAACGCAGTGTGGTTGAATGCAGACAAGAGCTCCCCATTTGATCTGTATCAGTTCTTTGTACGGTGTCAAGACTCAGAAGTTGAGAGGCTACTCAAACTGTTCACATTTGAGACGCTTGGCAGTATTGAGAACATAATGAGAAAACACCAGGTAATTTGAATTGTGATTCTTATGGAACATTAGTGTTCAGATAATTAAAAGAACTAAAAAAAGAGATTGTCTGAGTCACCTTTCCTCATTCTTATTGTCAGAATGTTAATGTTATCCTTGTGTGTCTTTATTCATCTAATACCATGATTACAGGGTTGGTACAAACCTAAATTCTGCCCAGAAAATAAAACCACCCCCTTCTCCAGTTTCAACTATTTTTAGGAACATCTCAATTAATAAACAATCAAATAATCAGGTTTCTTTTTAACTTATCACATAATACACGTACATTCCAAATAGGATTAAATTTATTGAGATTTGTGTTAAAATGCTGCTATTATCTCATAATATCTAGTGTCAAATGTTGGAGTGATTTGTGAATAAAAAATTGGAAAGAATTGTGCATTGCTGAATTGAGTTACTGCACTAGCATTTGCTTGGAGGGACTGAGGAAAATACAGAAAATTTCAGTCAGAATAGCAGGCCTCCTGACATAGATTTTAACCTAGCACCTGCTGAATACAGGTCTGTGATTGTTACTACTTGAGTAAACCAGTGCAGTACACCATCCTGTACTCATAATTTCAGAAAAAGAGGTGTGCCAAAATTGTGCCACAGATGAACTTTTCAAACACAATTTGTGATAATGTGCCTGGTTGCAAATAAGCGAAATTGTAAATAGGGAAAGTTGGGTGCATTAAATAATTGTAAAAAGAAAAATGTTAGATTATTGGGAATGAATTCATAGATGACAGTAGAATCAAGTCCTGAAAGGGGGCATGCAGTAGCCTAGTTGGTTGAGGCACTATGCTACAAGCTGGAAGGTCACGCATTCGATTCCCAATGAGGTCACTGGATTTTTCAGTTGACCTAATCCTTCTAGCTGCATTATGGCCTCTTAACAGAAATGTGTACCAGGAACCTTCCTGTGGGTAAAAGGCGGTTGATGCATAAGGCTGACAACCTCACTGCCATCTGTGAGGTGACTTGTCTAGAAAATGCGGGAGCCTCGACATCTAATAACCCTATGGGTCTCCACAGCTTGTTACATGGATAGCTTTATCTTTTTAACAAGTCTTGGAATTGTATGTAAATATACCTTGCCCAGATGCAATTTCTGGGAAGCCAGGATAGTGCAGTCGGTACAGTGACTGGCTACAGGCTGGACGGCCAAGGGGTCAGAGTTTTAGTCCTGGTAGGGGCAGGATTTTTCTCCTCTCCATGTTGTCCAGACCAGTTTTGGGGCCCACCCCACCTCCTATCCAGAGGGTTAAAGTCGCCAGGGCATGAAGCTGACTACTCACCTCCATCTAGTGCTGAGGTCAAGAATATTATGATTTATACATCCCATTACCCAATGTGTCTTCATGGCATAGTGCTTAATTAGTTAAGCACAGGGACTTTACATTTTAGATGCAATTTTCTCTGCTATATNTTTGACCTCTGTGATTCCGTCTTCCTAGTCCATGTGATCCAACAATTATATTTATTACGGAGTGGAAATATAAGTTTTAGGTAATAGTAACAGTCATACTGTCCAGTGCAGAACGCTTACATTTTTATGTGAAGGTAAAACCTCAGTGTTACAGAAATACAAGTTAGAAATAGCTTTACTAAATCCATGGAGTGGAGTACCACATAGTTCCTCAGCTAGTCAAGTTCCTACCTTCTATGCAACCTGAAGTCTTACTTACATGTTCATGATCATACCACTGGACCGTGACTTGTGCCAGTTGAATCCACTTCACACTGTTTCCTTAATCTCCATCTTATTTGGGAGCCTGGGTAAATCAGTATATTGATAAGCTACAAGCTGGAGTAATATTGTAGCAACATGTTGCACTTTTCATGTAATGTCAATTAGTTTATTTACAGTCTCACATGCAACATCATGTTCTATAAAATTTATTAAAAGTTATTCGCTTTAAAATTTAAAAGTTTGTTACTGCAGGTGTCAAAAATTATTGGGTGAGGAAACTGCTGTCTTCTGTTGTTGCTTATGTTATTAACAGGGCCCGGATTTTGATGACATGTCATCTTTTTTCCTTCTATCCTATGCAATGCTCTTAAATATATAAATCTCAGATATAAGCTGCTGGTTACAGAAATGTAAATTTTATACGTAATTTTTTGTCATTTTTAGGTTTAAGGTCATTTTTTCATTTTGGGGGTAATTATTTGGTAAATTTTTGGACTCTTAAGGGTATTTCTTGTCATTTTTGGCCATTTTAGGGAATTTTTCTTCATATGTTTTCTGAAATGTGAATAATATGGAAGCGAAGTGTTCTTTCTCTTTCTCCTTTACGTCATTTTTCTGGATTCCTTCGGTCATTTTATAGGTCATTTTTTTAATATTTTCAGGTCATCAAAATCCGGGCCCTGCATATTACATTTTTGGGTCATATTTTAGGTCATTTTTCTGAATTTTTTCGGTCATTTTTTAAATATTTTCAGGTCATCAAAATCTGGGCCCTGGTTTTTAATATATAAGTCATCTCCATGCACATATGTATTTGGGTTGTTCTCTCTCCTGTTGTGTGTTGTACTGCTTGTCTTGTTCTCGAGCTGGAAGACCAAGAAGTCAGGGTTCTCTTTCTAGCCTAGACAAGAGAGTGTTATCTTCTTCATAGCACCCCTGGGACCTACCCAGTCTCCTGTCCAGAGGGTACCATGGGAGGCTATTTCTTCTGGGGGGGGGGGNGGGGGGGGGGGGTAAAATGGCAGGGTCATGAAGCTACACATTCACTTCTGCCTAGTGCCAAGGTTAAGAATGATGGAGTTGTACCTTCAGTCACCCCTACATCTTGATGAAGTGGTGTTTAATTATACACAGGCATAAGTTTACCTTTACCTTCTCCATCTGAATTGTCATATTTTCTAAAGTATAAGTAATTTTTCCTGGAAAATTCAGCTGAAGTTTCACTCTTTGTCTTAGTATGTGAAACTATGAGTTTTCTTTTTCCTTCCGAAAATTCCTGTCTAAAACATGGACGCATCTTATAATCCAGAAATATGGTAAGAGTAGTTTTATAGCCAAAGATGTTCACACCTTCATGATACCACATGCTTGTACTTGTCCATTTACTTGTATCTAAATGTCCTCCAGCATATGAAATGAAGTGGATTTGCAATTTAAAAGGAATTATGTGTGACTACAACTTACTCACTTACTTAATTCTTGGAGAAGCTGAGCCCTTCTTGAGGAGCTGTCAATTCTGCAGCTACTCAAGAATTTCCAAGCATCCTGTTTTTGTATGAATTTATTTTGTTCCAGAGGAATCCTGAACTAAGAACTGCTCAGAAGAGGCTTGCTGAACAGGTGATGCTTCTGGTTCACGGAGGTACAGCAGTATCCACATGAATCTCATTGCGAATGTAAAGTAGACAAGGGAAGGATGAACACTTATTGAACAGAGATCCTTATAGTAGAAGTTTAAGACCTGACATTCTGTCATTATTCTGTCATTATGTAGAAGTAATTGTTAATTTATGGAAAGGACCACTGGCTGGTAGTGGAGGAGAGATGCCTATTTTTCTGTTAGCTTTGCAGGCTCAACCTTTGCTGAAAACAAATTTCCATTGTTAATAGTGTACATGCTCAGGAAAATTGTGATTTGATGTGTGTAAATGTGGATAACAGGAGGCGTCATCTGAAGAAACTGTAGCTAAAGATGGGCATCGGCTGCACCATAGCTCAAGCGGTTAGTCGCTGGCTTCCCACCGCGGTGGCCCTGGTTTCATCCCAGGTCTGGTGAAGTGGGACTTGTGGTGGACAAAGTGGCTCTGGGGCGGATTTTCTCCGGGTACTTCAGTTTCCCCTGCCAATCTTTATTCCACCAAATTCACCATTATAATCACCTGGGGCAGGCTACAATAGGCCAATCAGTGGCCGCCGTGCCAAGTGGACCCAGTTGGACTCCACTCCCCACTAAGCGAATTTAAAAAAAAAAATGTAAAGATGGGCATTGCATCTGAGACCATTTAGAATACTGTGCATATAAACACAAGAGAAGATTACAAAATGTACATGGCAGGAACCGGAATGTATGGTGACAGTGTTAAAGTGACAGCTATTGGTGAATTTCTAAAATGTTTGTCAGAGTTTATTTTGTATTGGAGGGTCAACTCACGCCACCACCAATTGTTGTTTGGTGGATACTGAAAGAAATGTCTTTCTCTTGTTTGATAGTGAACTGCACTGTGATGCTCTGTTGCCAGTTGAAGAGAAAAAAGGGGGAGTTATAATTTTGATAAAGTTCATTCTTATGGATGGCCTTTGCTGAAGACATTTCCTCTATGTATCATCACTCTCTAGTGCATCTTGTTATGTTAACTTTGTGCCTTAGTATAAATGTACTTGTCTTTCCACAACATTTTCAAAGTGTGCTCAGGAAGAAACTAAAAAGTTATATTTCATTTCTAGAGGAAGGGTTGGAGGCAGCACTTAAGGCCACATCAGCTCTTTACGATCAGACTGCCGAGAGTCTCGCACAGCTGACGGCAGAAGAGATCAGTAACATATTTCAGGGAGCAAAGATCTGTGATCTACTACTCCAGCCTGGCACAACTACGCTAGAGTTGTCTCTCCAGGCTGGATGTTTCACCAATGAAAGTAAGTATGGCACACCCCAACAATACAGAAGGGATGTCTTTTTTTGTGGGTCATTCTGTGACGCTTTCAGCATCTAGATTGCACAGCACTGAATGGTGGAATGACAGATGAATGATGAATTGCAAAAGACTTTGAAGGAAGCAGTTCTGGTGTGATCATGGTACTATCCTGACATTTTCTGGTGGGACTAAGGAAAGCCACTCAAAAACACTGGGAATCCACAATTGGACTCAGACAGGCAAAGGGATTTATATCAGGACCCTCTACCAGAAGAACGAAGGACCTGTTGAAATGAGAGACCAATTAAGATGGGTGGTAGGATTACTTACATGACGCTGCCACCTTAACGGACACCTTTTCAGACTGGGACTGACAGATGACCCAACCTGTGAAAGGTGCCTACAAAAAGGTGAATCAGCCACACGCATCTTATGTGATTGTGAGGCTACAGCTTACCAAAGATATCGCCACCTGGGTCAGTTCTTCATGGAACCAAGTGACTTTTATGATACCCCTATAAATAAAGTCCTACATTTCATTCAGAGTGTAGAATTAATAAAGGGTTAATCCAAAGGGGAAGCACAATAGATCATTGAAGGTCGCAGTGTGAGGGTCGGATTTTATGGTCCACCCCTTACACACATACAAGGAAAACCACAAAAGCCTGTAAGGGTAGCTGGTGTCGTGACCAAGAATTGAACCGAGGTCCTCCCAAATACAAGTATAGAGCATTATTGCTAGACCAGCCTATCTTGAAAGTGTGTCAGTGCTGTGATATTTTGTAACATGGGGGCATGATGTACAATAGAATCTGCTTGTAAGAGAATCCAAAGGTCCTCAACATGTTTCTGTTTTGTTCAGGTATTTACACTTACACACTATGATATGTATGCAGTGTCCGTCTTTTAGTGCATTCAATTTCACCTGTTATTTCACAACATGTTTCGGCAACATAGTGCCATCATCAGGTGCTCCATTTACGTTAATCTATTTCATTGCTTGCCATTATGTTATTGTAAAATTTAAAAAGTATTTAAAAATGTTCATCAATTATAATAAATATTTATATACTAAAAACTTGTTAAGATTATTTATCTTATCTGTCCCAATTCTAACACCGCGCATAGTTCCACCACTATGGGAGTCGTTCCTCTTACTCTCAGTGTATATCGCGTCTCGTGTTGTGTTCCCTGATGTTCACAAATAACTGATCTTTTGGGCTTTTACTTCCAGTGGCATTACCTATATAAAGTAAGATATATTTTTGTAATTTAATTACATTTATTATGTAAAATGATGGTCAAGCAATTCATAGCTTATTCATTTGGGTGACAGTTATTAATTTTGCTCTAGCCCTTTAAGACACATTGGTAATGGTATATACCATATTGTCAATTGTATGAGCATGACACACACACACACACACACACAAACAATGTGAGTCTTCACTACCGTTGCTTGGTAGTGGCTTCAACGGCAGATGTGCCCCTTCCTCTGGGTTCCCAAACTGTCCCCGGCCCCAACTAGCCATCTCACAACAGCAGTTCACAAGGACTGTACCATGACACTCCTCTCACTCACTCACTCACTCACTCACTCACTCTTGACTGACTCACCCTTTTAACATATTGGCACAGACTGCTTATAAAACAGCATTCATGTGTTGCTGTGCCATTGTTGTGTGCATGTCTTTTGGGGTTCCCACTTGATCGCTACTCAGCCCATGCCTAGCAATGCCTATTTTTTGCGGAGCCATTACTTAGCAATGGCTGTTGTAGAGTTATTTATTTCATGGTTGTTGCCTAGCAATAGGTCTGCATGCCACATTGAGCCCTCCTTAAGGCTGTTCATCCCAAATATCTAACAGGCATACTGCCATTTCTTCTTTTCCGAGGGCTAGGCTTGTGATGTCTGTGTTTGGCCTTGCCTTCCTTTTCTGTATACCATCATCATCTTTGTTCTGTTGCCAGCCCTGTGCTTTTGATGTCTCTTCTTTTGTTTCGGAGGGGGCACCTTCTCCACAATGTCCAGTCACTCACTTCCTGTGGCCCAGTTGAAGACCCAGCTCTTCATTTCTTGACCTCCAATTCAAGTGTTTGTCTGAGGGTCTCATATAGTGCCTTCAGACTTTCCAGATGTAGCTTGTTTCCTGCTTCATCCTCTGATACCATTACCTGTTGTCTTCTCCTTCCTTAGAGGTAGTTCCCGTCTTGTGCCTTGGTCCTTTATTCCATTGTGGCATTCTGGGCACTTCTATATATCTTTTTGACTGTCAGGCCTGCAGGGGCTTCTCTTGCAAAATTGCTCCTGGTACGCCTTTTCTGTGGGTTCTTGTATACCATGGCTGGTCACTGGTCCTCCAATTGGTCCTTCTGTGCTCTGACATTCTCCACTGCAGCCTCTTCATACAGACTTCCTAATGTACCACTACAGCCTCTGACTTTTCTCCATTGGCCTCAAAATCCATGGTGTCCATTTTATCCTACCTTTCTTCGAAGACATCCACAAGGGCATCCATTTCTTCAGGCCAGCCTTCATCTTCTCTGGGTTGGCCTTCATATTTTATAGACAGGCCTCCATTGCTTCCTGGCAGGCCTTCATCTCTTTTCCCCCCAGGCCATCATTTCTGCAAGCCAGGCATTCTTTTCTTGATTTACATTAATGTGGGAGGCAAGACAGCATATCTGGGTTTTCAGGTCAGCCATGCCTATATGGTTAGCTTATATCTTTTAGCATTACTGTCATTTCTTCTTGGCTGGCCAACAGGCATTCCAATAATTGTTCAATCTTTCCTCAGTTCGATTGAATCAGTTGTATCCCGTCCAATTAATCTAGTCGATCCAATCCCACTTCTGACACCACTCGTCACTTGATAGAGTGACTTGGATTGGTGACTGGATTTATTGGACACTTTTATACACAATGCTTGACTACATTCTACAGTTTACTGTTATACACACACGCACACACACACTAGTCATGTCTACACTACCAATGCCTGGTAGGGGCTTCCAATGGGAGATATTTCCCATCCTCTAGATTCCCAAACTGTCCCTGATCTTAGCTACCAGCTTATCACAGCAACAGCTCACAAAGACTGTATCACAGCAGTCCTCTAACTCACTCTCACTCCACTGACTTCAATTATAACATCTCAGCATGGACTGCATAGAAAACACTGTTCCTCTTTTGCTGTGCCATTGTTGCATTTGTATCTGTTGAGGTTCCCACGTGATGGCTACTCAGCCATTGCCTAGCAACGGCTGTTGTTTGCAGAGCCATTACTTAGCAGTAGCTATTGTATAGTCGCTTATTTCGTTGTTGTTACCTAGTAATGGATCTACATGCCACAATATGGTTTAACATTCGGAAACTCTGCATTTTGCCCCACACAGTGTATTTGTCCTTTATATGATCCTCTGAATAAACAGCAATAATTTCTCCTAACAGCAATTACTGGGTGAGCTTCCTATTGGTTTGTTTTCTATGTGCTAGAACTGTATTTTTAAATATTTAGGTATTAGTAATTTATTTGTTTTATTCATCCAAATCCATCTCAGGGTTTGCTGAAAATGATCTTGCTGTTGTGAACCAAAACACACTTGCTGCTTTCAGGAGATGCAGTGAGAATCATATCTGCTGGAGGTTTTTATATTAATTACCAACGAGTTACCAAGATAGATGAAGTGCTGACGCAAGCTGCACACATATTACCTAACAACATCACATTAATTAGAGTTGGTAAGTGGATATTTCCCATCATAAAATTCTCTGTATACAGGGAAATTGTAATGATGATATATGAGATTATAGTACTGCAGTGCACTGACAGACCATTGGTTGCGTGCAGAACAAGTTACATTGATAAGCATATGTGCCAACAACAGTCTCTCATTACTTTGATGAAACATGTTTATTTAGACAAGCTTGAAACCTATATTTTATACTGTCTTCTGAGATGTAATGCCATATAGTTCACTGAAAGTCAGCCAACATTTTGGAGGAACATGTCACCTCCATCTTCAGGGTCAAAGAATAAGGTAATCAAGAAACCAGCATGAAGGATTTGGCAAGCAGACCTGCGTTGATTCCGAGGATGGAGGTGACGTGTTCCTCAGAAACACTGGTTGACTTTCAGCAGACTACAGTGTGAGAATCTCAGATCCTACCTATATTTTATATTTTGTCAGCATTGGATATTATGCTTAGATTCTGGGTATGCAGAACAGAGCCTCTGGCTATTCCAAACATTAGCAGTGACAGAGTGTCTACATAAATAGTACAGTTGAAAAGAGAAAAGTTTCTGAACTCACAGGGACAGTATTTTATTCATGAATAGGAATTATGTTCATGATGAAATATTCAGGAAATTTAATTGTTATTTGATGCAGAAACTTCATATGTTATTACTGATTTTTAGTCTTTCATGGTGGTTCACTGTTAATGTTGAGTCCACTCTTGGGTCTGCACCATGTTGGTGTGGGCAGTCACCAGTGTACCAGGGGCATATGAATCAATAGGGATGGTGAACAGGGAAAAGCTGTCAGAAAGCCATTTTCAGAAATTCCTCTTCTATCCTAAAAGTGAAGATAGCATGTGCCTATGGCACATCACCAGTCTTACCAGATTACTCAATGTCACATTCAAGAAGACACTAATCCTCACTGTCAGAAACTTTCAGAAAATCGGCGCATACTTCATTCTGTTGTACTTTAGCACCCTGTTGAACTGGTATTGTTGCTCTTTGTACATATATATAACCACCACCTTTCATATATCTTATTATAACATGTTTTGGCCTCACTCACCCATCATCAGGTGTGTACAAATAAACAATCAAACTCCGTGATTTTAGTCTGCAAGCGAACTATACCGACTGAGTGACCGCCGCTTGTCGGTGAAGTTAGTGCCAACTTTTGCGGGTAGAGGGTGTCGCATGATCAGCACAACGAATCCCCACGGCTGTTAATTTCAGTTTTCTACTTTTGCTAAAATAGTTGCACTACCATTATAGTATGTTGTATGTGAAAGCATTGTTATTTTTAATTTTAAAATCTTTAAAAGCACATGAAGTTTGCTGATTCCACCATGTTGCATCCGGTTGTGAGGTGTGGGTGTTTTGTTTGTTGCTGTGGTGTGCGGATATCAACTCCAGCTGAGTTGGTCTCTTCTTTGTGTGTACGGATAATAAATATACTTTCTTCTTGTTCACGTTATTGTCTTCATAAATATATTTTGTATCATTACAGGTAAGAAGAATTACTATGTTGTCAGATGGCTGAAGTGAGGATTTATTGTGTAGGAAAATGCATGAATCAAGCTGGTTTTAGTTGAAGGGTGTTCAGAATCTTGGTAAGAGGGAATTTGAGTGTAGGGAAGTCCATAAGCAGGGATTCCAGCACAGAGATGAGATCACCATTTATTGCCTTCTGGCGCAGCATCTCCGTATCCAAAGGACTCTCACTGCGGAAGAGCAGGCGGTGACGTCCACATTTCACATCGTTGTACATCCTGGCTTTACGTTGTCGTCGAACAAGTACTTCCAAGTTCTGTGAACAGCATTACCTAATTTATACAGACAGTAAGCTTGTTAATGATAGAAAAAATTAAAAGTGGTTTGGTCTGATCATTCTTTTTAAGCCCTAAACTGAACTGAGAAATAGACAGTAAGTGATTATTGTATACTGTGCCAGCCTGCAATGCTGTAGTCATCTATATATGTCTCAGCCACTTGTGACCATATTCAAGTGAATATGCACATTCCTTTGTATATATAAAATTGAAATGTAATGATTGGGTAACCTTGATGGGACAGGTATGGTAAGGGTTCACTGTAAAGCTGGGCGTTCACCACCTTCTGGCCTTACACCTAAGTGCTAAACAGAGGGTACAATAACAGGTGGCACTGCTAACATTGCTTGTTTGGAATGCTGCATGTAATGTGTACACACACAACCACAGACTGATGGCAGAATCACATTGTCACGATTTTAGGGGTGTGACTAAAGATGAGGTTGGATCAGATAATTAGATTTACTGACCACTTGTACCCACCACTCAAAACTACAGGTGATTACGGCACTATTTGCTAATCTCCAGGGGGGCACGCGGTAGTGTAGTTGGTTGAGGCATTATGCTGCAAGCAGGAAGGTCGCGGGATCAAATCCTGATGAGGTCATTGGATTTTTTCCAATTGACCTACTCCTTCCAGCCACACTATGGCCCTGGGGTTTGACTCAGCCTATAGCAGAAATGAGTACCAGGAATATTCTTGGAGTGTTCTTGGGGGTATAGGGTGGTCAATGCATAGGGCTGACAACCTTACCACCATTTATGAGCTGACTGTCTAGTAAATGTGGGAACCTCAACATCTGACAACCCCATGAGCCTCCACAGCCTGTTAAAGGGATACCTTTACTTTTTTTTTGCTAATCTCCACACTTCACAAATCACCACAGCACTTGCTAAGGCTTTTGCAGCCTGTGACTTAATGAGCCATCCTGGCAACAGCTTCTAACAGTGGAGATTCTTCAGTCTCCTGTGCTCAGGTCATTGTCAGAGCCACCCATGCAGAATTCCCCATCAATTTCCTCACTTTCAGCTGCCAACTCAACTATAGCACTATCTCTTCTCAGTCTCACTTGCATGGTTACTAGTTACTAGTGCCCTCCAAGGTCAACTCGAATAGACCAATTGGAGGGCACTAGTAAAGACAACACCACATGCTGTGGAGGAAGCACACAATCTAGGAGCATATGGCAGTCAAAAACTAAAAGTAGACCACGAACGTGAGGGGCATGCTGCCAAGAAAAACATCTTGATACATTTACGAAAATGACGACACCCTGGGTGAGGTGAAATAATATGCGACTGAAATTTTAAAGGATTTTATGTCGTTTTACTTAAGAAGAATACAGCATGTGATTTTAACACAAATTAAAACAGTGTAGCAGTTTAAAACAGTTTTAGTAAAATATCTGTAACATAAAAACACTTGAAGATGGCCGTTTGAGGCCGAAACATGTAGTGTTGAAGTGTAGAATATAAAAGTGTTGCAATTTTGATGGAAGATAATAAACAATGGACGCTAATTTGAACAATTGCAACGGGTTGCTGAAATACAGAAGTTAACTAACATTCTACCATAGATTGCTACGAGTACCCTCGTAGCTACTCCCTAACTCTGGAGACAGGCTTTCTCTTATTTAATGTTCAATTTAATTGATCCCTAGTCATGAATCGCTGAGTGTTAAATTTTCACACATTAATGATTCTCATTTTAGTGTTCAGATCTACTGCTCCCCAAATAAACCTTAAATCAAGAAGAGCGGAAGAGCTGGCGAGAAATAAAAATCGAAAGTTTGTGGCAAGAGAGAAGAGACTGGAGACTATTTCCCCACCATGAATTCACATAAAGTGGAAATGATGCTAGATGATGATTCTTTAGAATACAGATTATAACTGTAAAGGAATGATGTACCTTTTGGTGTTGCAGTTTCCCTTCTTCAAGCTTTACGTCTAATTCTTTGATAACATCCTGCAGTTGCTGCATCTGATTCTTCTTGTCCTGTATCTGCTCAATCAACTGGTCATGTTGCTGCTGTACATCTTGGATCTGGTGTTCGACTGACTTTATTTCCTGCAACCAGCCAGATGCATTAGTTATCTGTCTTGCATATGAAGAGTATTGCCCTCTGGGATGTAATGCTATGTATTCCAGTAGAAGTTTACAGATTTGGAGAAACATACTGCCTTCTTCAAGGTCATTGAGTAAGTCGTGCAAATGAGCAGCCATTGTGTTCCTCTGAAACACTGGTGAACATTTGTTGGATATCCCAGAAGACAATCGTCGTAGTCACTGCTCTGAGAACTTCAAAATCCAACACTGTCTTATGTGGTTTGAAAATTCTGTAGTAGTTAAACTGATCAAGAAGTTCTGTAGTTGCATGGAACCTGAATCTTCATTACATTGTTAAACAGAGGCTCACTATTGGAGCCTATTCTAAAACAGTTCAAACCATGCGAGATATGAGATGAGGTTTTCACAGTTTTGGATTGTGATCTTCTGGGTTGTGAGACTGTGTAGACTGGTAGGTGGCCTACTGCCTCCATGTTCAGGGTAGGAAATGAGGGAAGTACAGTCCTCCAAAATTTTTGTAACCACCTACCAGACTATCATACCCTAGAAGACCATATTCTAAAATGGCTGAGTCTACTCCACACCCTATTTCTGAAACTTCCATTTTAGTATAATCCTCTCATCTATACATAGGTTTCCAAAGTAATATCTTCCCTTATGGTTTTCTGACTAAAATGTTATATGCATTTTACATTTCTTCAACATGTGCTAAATGTGACCAACCTCATCATACAGTCATTCTAAAAATACCTTCTATATAATGAGGACAAGTATGAAGTTTACCCTTATGGAGTGCCCCTATGCTACATATCTGGAAAATTAACCCAATACAACACAATCATACAGGTTGGTGTAGTGGTGATGCTGTATATATCTGGGAAGAAGAAAGGTGAAGTTCCTGTGCTTAATTAAGCACTACACCATGAAGATGTAGGGGGAGTGGAAGTATAGCTCTGCCATTCTTGACCTCGCCACTAGATGCAGGTGATTGGTCATCTTCGTGCCCTTACTGCTTTAACCATGGGGACATTGCCCCCAGTACCTATTGGATAAGAGGCTGGGTGGGCCCCAGAACTGGTCTGGACGCTGTTCAGAAGAGAAAAATATTGCCATGCTGGGAATTGAATCTGGCCTGTCCAACCCATAGCATCTCACTATCCCAGCTCCATATCTGCAAAGTGCTTGGCTCATATCTTGGCCAGGACACCAGTTATCTTGTTTTTCAGTCCCTCCAGGCATATGCCAGGCCAGTACTACAATTAGGCCACAGTCACTACCTTTCATATTCTTTCCAATCCATCAGTGATCCTACCATTCAAATCTATATAGTCTAGATATTGACAGCATCACAGAAAACAAAAATAACAAGGCTATGAATAAAAATTATGTTTCAGCTATACAGGTTGTCCTAGGAGCTAGGGTCAGTATTCTGGGAGGTCGTAATATTGGTCATTCTAAGCAAAAAAGTGTATGTGTCCTATTCCGAATGGTCTCCGAGATAGAGCTATTTCATTGGACAGTTTCAAAATTGATAAGAAAGAGATATTACATACTGTTTCTATTTATTGTTCAAGTGACAAAGTTTGTACAGTTTTCCCAGTACAATATATTTTCAAAAATTCCACCATCAAGATCAATGCACTTTGCAGCTCATGTGAGGACATGGTGTGTTGCTCATGTGTACAGTGAAATAGCTGCATCTCATAGGACACACATACATTACACTTTTTTGCTCTGAATGACTAATACTTTGACCTGCCAGAATATTGACCTATCCTGGAACACTTGTACAGCCCACAATCAACATTATATAAACACCTGATCTTGTAGTAAATATTAAAAAAGAGAAGGTTGGAGTGGTTGGGTATTGTATATTAGAATGGACCAAACAAAGGTGGCTAAGAATATTACTGAAACTAAGTCAGAAGGTAGGATAAGCGTAGGAAAGGGCCAGATTGAGACAGCTGAAGGATCTAGTGAATGAATGGTATACAAGAACTGAAAGTGAAGAGGTGGAGGCAAGAGGTAAATAACAGAAGTCTGAGCATATACCAAGCTTCCTAGAGGATGGCAACGCTAAGGTGTAAGTAAGTACATCACAGCCAGTATTAATCAGAAATCATGAATGTAGCCAGGAAGTTACCTACACTATTCACTTGTTTGACCCTGTTTCGGATATCCTCCAGTTTCTTCTGAAAGCTATGTTGAGTGTTGTGACTGCCCTTATGGGATTTCCGAGTTTCTGCCTGGTCAACAATTGTGTCACGCTTTGAAACGCAGTTTTCAAGATCTCCAATCAGCTTTTCTTGAGCTTTGCGCAGCTGGGAATACCTAACCTGAAAAATGAAAATCAAAGTGTTTGAAGAGTACTGCCTTCTGGAATCTGATGCTGTACAGTCTGGTAGAAGATCAGCAATGTCTTTGAAGGAGGGGATGTACTGCATCCATCTTCAGAGTTTAAATGTAAGCCAAATATGTAACCTCTACTACTGCCTGCTTCTTGCTGGTTTCTTGCTTGTCTTAGTCTTTACCCTAAAGACTGAAATATCAGTGAACCTATACCACACCACACAGTGTCACAGCCCAGAAGACAGCACTCTACAGAGTCACCACTGTAAGAATCCGCTGTCCTGATGACTGGCAAATGACGAATTGGAAAGGAGACGGAAGGATACAGTCATGGCTAATTTAAAGTGCTACTGTGGTTTTTGCCTGAAGAGCCTGGAAATGGCCACTAAAAATCTTGGTGAGGATAGCTGGTATTCCATCCTAAATTCAAACCCTTCACCTCCCAAATACAAGTCAGAAGCTTTACTGCTTAAACCAGCTTGTCGGGTTGTTCTGTCCATGTTACATAATATTACATAGCCTATCCAAGTGAAGTAGAGTTAGTATATAACCAAGACCAAATCCATGAAATAAGTCTTCTATCCAACAAAATTTTACAGTGTTACAAATCATTAACATATACTAGTACAGCTGACTCAGAAGAATAATTTGGTACTGAAGGACTTTCTCTATTATGTAGAGTTACAGAGGCCTGGAGGGGATAAATTAGTAGTTTGGGGAGCAATATGCAGCATGCTGAATAGGCACCTCCATGCGATGGATTTCAGCTTTCATGGCCCCAACATCACCCTCTTTCCTCCTCTCATGCTGTGTTATCTGCTTGGTTTCTTGTGCCATCTGCAACTTCTTCTCCCAAGCCAACAATTCTCGTTGCTTTTCTAATAGTGACTCCCCTAGTTGAACCTTTTCTTGCTCCAGATCTCGAATCTCTGATTGCAGCAATACAGCTTCTAACTCCGCATCCTATAACAGAAGAGTGCCACAAGAAAGTACATGAAACACGATACAAATACTTGAAGCTCAGTTTTACATTCCAAACCATGAGAATCAATTATTTAAATTATCCATCTGGACCGATTAATTAAGATAGAAACCATCTAGTTAAAATATACTCTCTGAGAATTCAACAGGCAATTCATCATTCATTATATATGCTTTCATATGATTAACTTCCCTGCTTTCTCTCACATATCTTTCTGTTCCAACATGTTATTCAATGCTGTCTTAAGACTGACATTTAATGCTCTAGCTCATGAATTGCAAACACAAATTGTCAATTGTAAGCTGCCTCCTTTATATTACACTTCACATATCACACACTTCCACATCAGTATAATACAGGATGAATCATATAGAACAGGCCTGATGAATTTGCTAATAATTCTACAGGTGATGCATATAACCGCTCACAATTACGACATAATAATCTGTGGGCCGTGCTGAGTCGAATGGTGTGCTCATGATCCAGCAAGTGGCAGCCCTTATGTTGCAAGGTCAAGGACAATCCCGAAACATGTCTGCAGTGTGCAAGCAACAGTCATGGAGTTCACTGTTGAACAGCAAGTGTTTCTAATGCCTACTTGAAAACGGCGGACACTTTCAACACCTGCTCTGATCACGGCACACAATCCAAGATATGTGTAAATTACTTTAATATCTGTATGGTATATTTTATATTACAGCTCATTTCGTCGGGCCAGTTCTATATGAATCACCCTGTATATATATATACTCACAGAACAGACATGGTACACTGAAACACTGATTGCTTATCTGTGACCAACTATATAACTCATGTTCAGGCAATATGTTAACACCTGATAATTCATTGCACTGATAATGCAAAATTGCATCATTTCATAGTTTTCATCTCACCGTTACATTACTTCTTTATATAATGTACAAGGGGACCAAGTACATGAAAGTGACCTGAGCAGTGCTCACTGTCCTTGATTTTCAAGGAAATACTGTGTTAATTCACATTAGGGAGTGCATAAAAATGTAAATTCCTGTTCCCTACTGCAGATCAAATACAGAACACTCAAGGATATTTGTACTCTTGCCAATATGTATGGCAGTCACAGAAGTTATAGCAAATTAGACGAGTAAACTTCGATTTCTTAATCTAAATGCTATTCCTCCTTTCAAGTTTTAATATAATGTATATTGTGATACCGACAAGGAAAGGAGCATTACCCAGAGGAGAATGAATACTTCTATGAAACCAGGTTAAAATTAAATTTATAAAATTTGTTGTAATCACCTATCATCTATGTTGGATCTGAGGTTCTCGCAGCAGTGACTACAAGGAGAATTCATCACTCGAGTACTGGAGTGATATGTCTCCACTTTTGGGTGAAAATGAGATAATCTGCTTTGATTCTCTACATCAACTTTTATTATCTATACATACATACATGGGTTTGCCTTACTTTTAAGTGTGAGATTTCAGAATGTGATTTTTTCTAAGTCACACTGCAGTTGACTCCCAAACTTCAAATCGAGTTCCCTAAAAAATTCCAGTGCTCAGGTGACAAATTTATCTTTTTGGATATAATGTTGGGTAGTCCAATATTTCATAGAAATAGATTGCATTTATGTAAGAGTAAGCCAAGCAAGCCATTCACTCTTTGACTATGAATACGAAGGCAGTATACTTTAAAATATCAGTGAACTCTACTGGATCACAAGACATGACATTCCAGAGAATGAGGGTGTTTGAGAACAGGGTATTGAGGAGAATATTTGGACCGAAGAGAGATGAAGTGACACGAGGTTGGAGAAAACTGCATTATGAGGAGCTCCATAACTTGTACTCTTCTCCAAGTATAATTAGAAGGATCAAGTCAAGGAGGATGAGGTGGGAAGGTCATGTAGCACGAATGGGGGAGACGTGGAATGCGTATAAGATATTGGGAAAGCCAGAAGGAAAGAGACCACAGGGAAGACCAAGGCATAGGTGGGTGAAGAATATTAGAATGGATCTTAGAGAGATAGGATGGGATGGTATGGATTGGATAGATCTGGCTCAGGATAGGGACCAGTGGAGGGCTCTTGTGAACATGGTAATGAACCTTTGGGTTCCATAAAATGCTGGGAATTTCTTGAGTAGCTGCAGAATTGGTGGCTCCTCCAGAAGGGCTCAGCTCCATGAGTAAGTATTCTTTACCTACCACGTAGGTTTCAATTGTGCTGTAGTAAACCTGTCATAGGATCAGGGAGCAGCACTGAATTTTGAATTACTATAAACAAGAGACACACCTTGAGAATGTTCATGTAATGGTTCTGCATAGACAGATTCTCTTTGTCCAAGGTTCCCTTATAATCCTTCTTCTCACAGAGTTTCAAGTTCAGTGATAACAGTTTATTACAGAGTGAGGCAATTGAACGGCTAATTGCCTTCTCCTCTTTGTTGTGGCTCTCAATCTCATGCTCAATTTTCAAGTTCTTCTGATCCAGAATTAACACCTCTGCACAGAAAGAACAAACAATTAAAATCTGAGGTAGGTAAATTTTCTTTGTTAAGACCATAGGTTGTGGTTAATTAAACAGGTGGCCAAATTTACTTATTTAAGAAGTGAATCTACTGGGTGATAATGTAGATACCATAAAGAAAAACACACAAAACTTTAATTGACGCAAGTAAGGAGGTTGGTCTAGAAGTAAACACAGAGAAAACTAACTGTCTTGTCACCAAAATGCAGGGATAAATCATGACATAAAGAAAGGAAACAAATGTTTTGAAAATGCGGCACAGTTCAGATATTTGGGAACAACGATAAAAAATTGAAACCTGATTCAGGAGGAAATTAAGAGGAGACTGAACTCAGGTAATAGTTGCTACCATGAAGTCCAGAAACTTTTGTCTTCTCGTCTCCTGTCCAAAAACATAAAAATTAGAATATACAAAACTACAAATTTACCTGTGGTTCTCTGTGGGTGTGAAACTTGGTCTCTGACATTAAGGGAGAAAGATAGGCTGAGGATGTTTGAGAAGAGGGCGTTGAGGGCAGTATTTTGACCAAAGAGAGATGAAGTGACAGGAGGTTGGAGAAAACTGCATAATGAGGAGCTTCATAACGTGCACTCTTCTCAAAGTATAATTAGAATGATCAAGTCAAGGAAGTTGAGATGGGCAGGACATGTTGCACGAATGGGGAGACAAATGCATATAGGATACTGGTGGGAAAGACAGAAGGAAAGAGACCACTGGGAAGACCAAAGCATAGGTGGGTGAAAAATATTAAAATGGAGAAAGCAGTCTTCTAGGATGTGGCGCCATGTACATATTGTGTTAACCGACGTTTCAGAGGAACATAATGCCTCCATTTTCAGGGTAGAAGACAAGAAGAAATCCATGATTGAACCAGCGTGACCACGTGCAACAGACTGAGTCCAGTCGAGTAAAACCAGCTATATAAGAGCAGAAAGAGAAGGGAGGGGGCTGCACGGGGAATCGACAGAGAAGGGGGAGGGGAAGGGTCTAGGGATGTGGGCCAGCAGGTAGCAGGCCAGAGCAGGTATAGAGTATGTGTCGGGGAGAAAGAGAAGGCAAGATCAAATGAAGGGCAAACCCTGAAGCTCGAGGTTTGCGAAGCGAGTCGGGCATGGACCTGCATGTCCTTGTGGATCACGCATCATGTTTCTGAGGTTTCTTGAGGGAACAGATGAGAGGCTTCCATGACTTGCTGAGACAAAACTCCACCTCTCGGTTCATATTGTCGGGATGGAGTTCAATCTCAATGGCCTCCCTGATGATGCGATCCATATATCAGGTCTTGGTGGCGAGGATGGAGGTATTCTGAAGCTGAATGCGATGTCCCAAATCGATGCCGTGTTCAGCCACAGCTGACTTGTCCGGATGTTCAAGACGATGTGCCGCTGACGCTCCGTCAACCTCATGTCCACAGAATGGCCTGTCTGCCCAATATAGACCTTGGGCCTTGGGCAGTGGGCCTGACTCCAAAGAAATTAGCTAGTTTCCTCCAGCCGGTCAAAGACAGCCTGGGACTATGGACACCAGGTGTATACAGAATCCCCTGCAAGTGCGGCAAGGTCTATATTGGGCAAATTGAATTGTTCCCAGCCAAATGTCGCAATGAGATCTTGAGTTGTGGTGGCAGTGTATGGGCGAGCATTGTTAAAAAGCACCACAGCACGCCAACTATGCATGCCACTTTGCTTGTTCCGGATTGCACAATGCAGTTTCTTAATTGTGTCGCAATAGACACCTGTGTTGATTGTTGAGCCTTGAGGCAAGAATTCCACAAGCAGTATGGGTTTTCTGTCCTAAAACACTGTGCACATGACCTTGTCAGTTGAAATGGTCTGTTTGAATTTTGTCTTTATTGGTGATCTGTGCTTCCATTCCATGGGCTGCTGCTTTGATTCAGGGGTTATGTGCAATACCCATATCTTGTCCCCTGTGCCTATGCGGCTCAAGAAATCATTGCTTTACTCACTGTATTGTGTCAGAAAGGTCAACACACTGGCCTGCTGTTTCATTTTGTGTTCATCTGTAAGCATCTTCGGCACCCAACGTGAACACAATTTCCAAAAACGAAGTTCATCAGACACAATATTGTGAAGAAGTGACCATGAAATTTGTGGAATATGCAGGGAAAGTGATGAAATGGTGAACTGTCTGTTCTTTTGAATCTTCTCTTCCACTCCACACACCAAATTTTCATTAACCACACAAAGTCGGCCGCTCTGTGGATCATCATGCACATTTTCACATCCTTCATTAAAGTGTCTCACCCATCTCCTTACCATTGAATAACTCATGGAATGTTCTCCATACACCTCAGAAAGTTGATGATGAATGTCAGCCGGTTTCATGCTTCTTGCATTCAAGAAACGGATTACAGACCGCATTTCACATGAAGCGGGCTTCTTCATTTTCTTGAACATTGTAAACACACAGGACGATGTGTAAACGTGGTCTGACTGTCTGCAAATGATGCCTGTGCCTTCCAAAAGGAGCAATAAACTCTGCACGCATGTACACCCTAGTGACCGCAGCAGCAGTATTTGCAAACAGAACTTATTTTGTGGATATGCCTCGTAATATTAAAATGGATCTTAGAGATGCAGTATGGGGAGGTATGGATTGGATTCATCTGGCTCAAGATATGAACTCTTGTGAACACGATAATGAACCTTTGGGCTCCACAGAATGTTGGGAAACTGTTCAGTAGCCAAGCAACTGGTGACATTTCAGGGAGGACTCACCTCCATGGAGTTAGCTAGTGAGTTACTTAGCCCCACATAAAACCAAAATAGTACTAGGAGAAGGTGGAAATCCAAATTCTTAGAGGCTGAGAAGTGAAGGTAGATTATTAACATAGTAATCACATCGACTGACACAATTTTACTCTGTCTTTATGGAGAAATATACATGTAATATTGTCTTTTCTTACGCTTGCGAATGAGATTTATGTTACGGAGTTGCTCATTCCTCTGGTTTGCAAGTTGCACTGTGTGAGCCTGCTGCCGCAACCAGAACTGCTGCAGCTCCTCAGATTTTTCTGCTGTTTCTGTGATGTTCCTTTCTAGGTCCCTGATCTTCATCTCTTGAGGGCTTAGGTCTTCTACCTGCATAAACAGTCTCCTTATAATGATAATGAAATATGAGAGCAAACTTCTGAACATCTGTATTTGTATTTGAATTTCTGTCTAAATGGTTGGTTAATATACAAAGGCAACATTCAAAGTAAATATAGTAATAAAGTGTTAAAAAGACTTTCTTATTCTGTAACCAGCTAATGGTTAGTCCAGAGATGAAACCCACAGCTTAAAGGCTGATCATGCAATAATGCGATGCCTTGTGAGAGCCATCATACCCGCCAGGGGCCAGTGATGGACGAGTATGGAACAGTGGTGGAATGATGATTCATGTCTCGTTGAAACAAACTTCCTTGTTCTGTAACCAGCAAACACCCAGGTTAGGGATGAAGTCCCAAGCTTCAAGATCAAGGATAAGACAATGTGCTATCTGTTCAGGGCTACTGTACACCTCAGAAAATGGTAACAGATGGACATGGAGCAATAGTTGAATGATGATCAGCAGGGGAAAACTGAAGAAACTTGGAGAAGATCCTGCTCCCATGTCACTCTGTCCACCTCAAGTTCCATATGAAACCACTTGGGACTGAACCCAAGTCTCTGCAATAACAAGCCAGCATTTAACCACCTGAGTGATGGCATGGTCCAACAACCAAATGATACTTGAAAAAATTACACTTCTCACTCTACAATATTTTAGGTTATGTCACAAAGATCTGGTCACACTGTGATGTCACACCCTATGTAAGAGCTATATTTTCTTTGGTTGGTTGGTCACTGCTCTGTCCAAGGACAATGTTACAGAAACAATAAGCCTTCATCATAGCTCAGTTCACACTGCCTCTCAAGATGGATCTTAATTTTTTGGCTATACGCCAGAAAGAAGCTGAGTGTATAGTGTACAGGAAACTGCAAGTAGAATGTTTAAATATTTGATGTACCACGTGAAATGCTGAAGGATTAAATGAATATGCTTAAAACCCTCCATAGAATAAGCCCTTTTTCTTTGGCCAGCACTTACTCCTGACTTTGAAGTCAGTTCCTCCAGTTTTTTCTGCAAGCTGTCCAGAGCTCCCTGCTTCTTGTGTGCTTCAAGCATGCTATGGCGCAAGTCACTCTCCATGCTCTGGAGATCATTTTCCTTTGATTCTACCTGCTTCTTCAGCTCCTCCAACAGAATACTTGTCTGCTCGTTCATTCCTTTCTGATGTTCAACATCCAGTCTTGCCTGTGTGAGTTGGTTCTCCGTATTCACCATCGTGATTTCCTGTAACACCATAGGAATTCTGTTTAAAGTTGTAACAATATCTTCTTTTTTTTTTTAAATATGATGCTATGTTCATATACCATGTTGGATCTGGGGTTTCACAGCAGTGACTATAAAGAGCCATGTTTTCTGGTACAAGTTCACCAGTGTTTTAGAGGAATGTACTGCCTCCATTTTTCGGGTTAACGGGTAAACCAAGCAACAAACCAGCACAAAAATAGTAGCAGGTTCTTGCTTCTTGCTTCGCTGGCTTACTCTTTGACCTTGGAGAAGGACACAGTATACTCATATGAGACTGTGGTGAATTTTGGATTATATATAAACGAAAGTAAGTTTGCCCTGCTGGTAGTTCAGTTTGTGGGGAGTGTAAATTGCTGCTGGCCTGCACCAGCACAGTCATCCATGGTTTCAGGCCCTGTTTGGACCCATGATCAAATTTTATTTGCTTCAAGATCATTTACATGCTTTGAAGCAGGGCCTTCTCTTCAAAAAGATGAGGGGTTGGTCTTAGTAAGTAGGCACTATATTTGTTGTGCCGTAATTGAGCACAAGTATACCCGCACTTGCGCAGTGTCCAGGTATGGGCACTTATTCACTATGGACACTACACACGCTGCTGAATCTGATGTGCTAGAGAACACTGCCTCCAGCAGTTCCCCAACTGTAGTGTGTATATTTGTTGCCATAGCTATGCGTTTTAACAAGGCGTTACCTAGCAATGGACACCTCTATGAGTTTCCAGTTTATAGATGTCATGCCACATTATGAGCTGTACTTCAGATTTTGTATATGATAGTCATTGAATTAAGTTATCTGTTCAATACCTGATCCCTAGTCTTGTTTCGGAGGCCCTGAAGCACCTTATTCAAGCATTTGGCTGCTTTATCCTGTGTTATCTGATTCTGCAGCTTCTCCAGGATAGAGTCCTCCAGCGCTAGCTTCTCCTTGGACAGCCTCTCCACCCTCTTCTGGAGCAACTTCTCCTCATGTGAGTTCTTGTGATAATCCTGCAACACAGTCGTCATGAAAGGTCAACTGACCTGCCACAGGTACTCTTTACCCATCTGAAGCATGTGTACTACCTGGTTTAGCAATGAACAATTCTGCACTTTGCCCATGCAGTACATTCATGTGTTTCTTGCGATTCTCACAATAAACACCGATTATTTCCCTACATCTTTCTGAGGTGTAAACTAAATTTTTAAATATTGTTTAGATGAACTCCATGCCTCAGATGTTTAAATATAACTGAGGAAAAGTGACTAAAGTTAATCTGGAATGACAAATATTTGTATGAAGCCACTGCTTAATAATTGTTTAAAACTCTTTAAAGCACATATAAAATTTACTTTAACATCCAAAAATTATTTTCTTCACACAATGTATTAGTGTGTTCCTTAAGATTCCCACAATAATCAGTGATTATTTTCATAAATAGCATTAACTGATTGATCTTTATAATGGAGATGCACTGTGTTTCCTGTGAGATAGGAACTGAATTTTAAAACAGTATTCAAATGAGCCTTAGATTTCTAGAGAAGGACAGCTCAGTACCATCAGTGAGTATGAAGACATAATTCTGCATTTAAGTCATGGGGTGAGGCAGGTCAGTCAGTAAAGCAGCTGCAGAACTGGAGGTTCCATTCACAGAAGGAACATCAGTACTGACTTTGTTAATATGGTGTCCAGACGGCACCTGAGGACAAAGGCTGCCTACCTTGTGCTGAGATTATGGATGCATTCACTCACTCACTCAGCTGAGCAAATTGTGCAGCTACTCAACAACTTCCCAGAATTTTACGGAACCCGAAGGTTCACTATTGTGTTCACAAGAGCCCTCAACTTGCCCCTATCCAATCCATAGCATCCCATTCTATCTCTCTAAGATCTAAGACCTTCCTAATGGCATATTCTAAAGCAAAGTTGAAAAGCAGTGGCAATAAAGCATCTCCTTGTTTTAGACCATTCTGGATAGGAAAATTATCAGACAAATGTTTACCTATATGGACTTTACCATGCGTTTCATTTAAACACATTTTAATCTGCCTGACTAGTTTCATGGGTATCCCAAACTCTATCAGAATATTGTACAATACTTCCCTCATAACTGAATAATAGGCTTCCTTGAAGTCTATGAATAGTTGTGTACTGTCTCACTGTATTCCCATTTTTTCTCCAGTATGTGACAAATGCAAAAGATCTGATCAGTAGTTGATCTGTTACGTCGAAACCCATACTGGTGATCCCCAATAATTTCATCTATGTATGGACTTAACCTTGAAAGAAGAATGCTGGATAAAATTTTGTATGATGTTGATAGCAATGATATCCCATGATAATTACTACAGTCAGTTCTATCACCCTTCTTGTGAACTGGTACAATAACAGGCTCCTTCCACTGATCAGGTAGGTCGTCCTTATTCCAAATAGAATTAACTTACTTATGGATCTTGGAACGCAATATTTCCCCTCCTGCTTGAATAAGTTCTGCAAATATACTGAATAAGCAGTCTCAGACAACCAACAAGAGATGGTCCTCCAGCTTTGGGGTTGCGCATGGGGCTAACAACTCCTCATCATAAAAAATAACCTTGTTACGAAACTTTGCAAGAAGCCTCGGACCTGGATGGAGATTATGGATGCATAGAGTTCATCTCTGCTCAATCTTACATAACTTCATGGCATGATATATATTAAAAGGGATAACTGCTTTGCAGTGTACAAAAATTACTTTAATAAAAGCTGCATATAATTTGAAGTTCCATTATTACCAAAATGTCTTAATTTGAGTGTTATTCTTTCTTCAATGTTTCACCCTGTTGTACACTATGATATTGTGAAGGAAAACAACCATAGCCCAGGAGAAGGAAAGGTATTTCTGTTCTGCTTACAGAATAAAGGAAAGTGTGCTAAGCAGCAATAAGTTATTAGTTTGTATTCTACTGTATGAACACTCACCAACATAACAACTTGCATCTCCTTATCTGTCTGCTCCAGCACCTTGTGAACAGCTGATAACTGAATCTCTAGATTTTCCTTCTTCTTCTTCCCCAGAGCAATGAGACGCTCCAGATTTGCTTCCTCTGACTGATTCTTCTTTAGAATTATTGTCAGCCTTTCATTTTGTAACATTTCATCTGCTGAGGCTCTCTTTAAACCTTCAATTTCATTGTTCAGTGTTTGGAATTCTTCCTGAACTTTTCTATGAGATAGAAACAAAGATGGAACATTATAAAAGAAGAACTGTAATGGACTTGAGATCTTTGTAAGGTGGCTAATATACATTGTACAGGGTGACTCACTCAAGAGGAGGCCCTAGATTAATAATTATATATCATGTAATATCTTACCAATGAAAATGAAACCTGGAAAGTACATGTCAGTGACCTGTAAACTGTAGTTCTAAGTGCTGTATACAAGTGGTCAATAAATCCATTCACCAATCAATACCCTATCTATAGTCACAACACCTAAATATTTTGGGTGGGTGGGTGAGTGAGTGAGTGAGTGAGTGAGTGGGTGGGTGGGTGAGTGGGTGGGTGAGTGAGTGAGTGAGTGAGTGAGTGAGGGTTTAGTGAATGGGTATAAGCTTTAGTTCCATGTTCAATTGGCATTATGGCATTATGCCTTCTCAGATTGCAAATGGAGAAGATAGCCTCCAGATATGGAGGGTAACTGTGTTAACTAATTAAGCACTATGCCATGAAGACATATGGGGGCGTGGATGTATAGAACCATGTTTTCTTGACTTTGGCACTAGTTGAAAGTGTGTGGTCAACTTCATGCCCCANTCTCAGATTGCAAATGGAGAAGATAGCCTCCAGATATGGAGGGTAAAAGGTAAAAGGTAAAAGGTAAAGTTGTCCCTGTGTTAACTAATTAAGCACTATGCCATGAAGACATATGGGGGGAGGATGTATAGACCCATGTTTTCTTGACTTCGGCACTAGTTGGAAGTGTGTGGTCAACTTCATGCCCCGGCCACTTTACCCCTGGGGAAAGAGCCTCCCCCCATACCCATTGGATAGCAGGCTGGGTGGGCCCCAGAGCCAGTCCGGACAACATGGAGAAGTGAACATTCTTGCCCCCACTGGGACTTGAACTCTGACCCCTTGGTCATCCAGCCCATAGCCAGTCGCTATACTGACTACACTATCCCGGCTCAGGATACTGAGGGCAACTATAATATACTGAATAAGGAGTTGCAGACAGCCAACAAGAGGTGCTCCTTTAGCTTTGCAGCCACAATGTGGTAAAGAATGTTCAGGTTCTCTAAAATGCTGAGAACTTCCTCAGCAGTTCAGTAACTATTAGCTTCTCAAGAAGGACTCAGTTCCATGTTGTTAGTTAGATATTTTTAGCTGGTATATGGGTTACCTTGTGTGTGGGTGAGTGGGTGTGAAATGATATTATGGCCCTGATAATGACACAGTTGCAATGAATTAGTGTAAACAAGTTACTCAGTTACCTGTAATCCTGCATAACATTCATGTACACCCTGTCACGTTGCTGTATGCTAATGAACACACTGTTCCAAGACTGCAGAAGCTGCTGTTGTTCTCTGCTTAGTGCCTCCAGGTCTGCATTTGCATCAGCTATAGACTGACTAACTTTATTCCTCTCAGATTCCTTCAGTTTCAATTGTCCTTCAAGGATGGCAAGTCTTGCCTCCAGATTTGCTATCTCCGTCATCAATTTCAGAATGAAGACATCCTGTAACAGTGTGTGGTAAGGAGATAAAATTAAGTCCAATTCCTGCAGACTGTTCAGTAAGGTCGGGGCCTTCTCCCCCACAGATGATAAAGATGTATTCTTTATTTAAAGTGGCTGAAATGAATGCATAAAGGGAGGTTGTGTCCTACCTGTCATACCTCTGACACCACCTAACAAATTTCAATGAAATCTAGTACCTGAGGTACATGTTTACAGCTACTGGCAAAATCAATTTTACTTCATGTTTATTTAATATAATCCTTATTTTATATAAAACTTAAATTGAACTTCATCAACTTCCTCAAAAACAGCCCTCCATACAAAATGATTGAGGTACAATAAACTATAGAAGTGACAAAGATCCTCAGAAGAATGAAATTAAGTCTTCCCAGCATTAAACTGGGTTCATATGGATTGCATATCCAGCATTTCGGAGACTGAATCTCTCTCCATGGTCAGTGATTAATATGATGAGTGTTGTACCTGCAGACTGTATTTATATCAACAGAGTACGCTTCTTGGTTGACCCGGTGTACATTGCTGAGGGAACAGTGAGTACAGTCAGAGTCAGAGGTATCCTGTCCTAGTGCAGACTGCTGCAGAACAGTGGGCACAGTCAGGCAGACAGTGGTATCCTGCTACAGTTGATGATTGGATTTATTGGATATCTCTATCAGAGTTATACTCAATTACAATAATCTATAATAGCTCACAATCAGTGACTGCCTAAGGCTCGTTCAATTTCCTCCTGTACTACAAGCAGCTTTGCTTCCACCGTGGCTAGTTAATTAATTCATTCTTGCAGCTCATTAGTTCTCTAATTACTTGTCTGCAACTGACTCATTCATCTGTCTGGCAAATTCCTCTTTTCTTAACTTTGGGAGCACCAGACAGATATCACTGCCTTCAAGGGTTCCAGTACTCCTCTTCATGTCTACGTTGTGCCAGATACACCTTTAATACTGTGGTAACCAAATCCATTGTCCAGCAATGGACTTCTCTTCTTGTGGAAAGTGTAACACTTGGGAACGTGTTTAGCTAACCGTTGCCTAGCAATGAGTCACAATATACTTAAACCTGGGGTGTACCTTTATGCACTCATTGTTTGGTCAAGGATGCACTATCCCTGTAATGCCAAATATTGCTGACAAGAGCTTAAAACTCTTGAGTCATATTTGGGACATGTCAGACTGAAATGTTGGTCTAAAGGCCAGATATACTAACAGTTTTTTGTGGTTTTCCTCAGTCCCTCCATGAAAATTCTGTGATAATGCCTCAAATTAGGCCATACCCCTTTCCTTTCTAATTCATTACTACCTAGTTTTCCTACAATTCAAGGCAGTATAACATGAGCTACTGACAGCCTTGATGAACAATAAGTAAAATGAATATATGTTATTGCCATGTAAAACATGAAGACTGACCACAAATCCTTGACTTGAATACTGACTGAGAAACACATACACAACCTATGTCATGGGTAATATTTTCAGACTCACCTGTTTCTGCATCTCCTTGGTGAGCTGTCTTTCTTCAGCCTTAGTCTTCTCAGAAATTCTCTCTGACACAGATATCTCAGACTTCATTTCTTTCTCCCAGTCTGCAAACTGCTGTTCCAAACGCATGAGATTCTCCATCTCTGCCCGCAACTCCTCCTCTAGTTGAACACAGAAAACGCACTTTACACTTCACCTCAAAACATGCAAATTTAAAAAATTTTCATGCATCTCAGTGGTTCCTAACCTTTTCTGTCTCATGCATTCATGCATCTGTTTGTATCTCCTAATGACTAAACTTCTCACTTAATCCCTAGAGACTATGGTATTAGCAGCATCAATGCTATGGGGTACTTCTATCGCAGAGTCAATTACTTGGTTATACGTTAGCAGGGCCCCTCAAAAAAAAAAAAAACAGCATGGTGTTAAATGTTGCACAATATGTTCCAATTACTGCCAGTTAATGGTCAAAATGTAAATAAAAGAACATGATAAATTAATTTGTATTTAACATGAAGGACAGAAGGAGAAAAGGCTTTGTAAAATATGCTGACTCTAAAACTGTGCCAACCCAAACATTCCCTTCGTTAAGCTTGCTGCACCAGCCCTGGATGTTAGACATAAGCATTAGTTTTGTGTGTTACACAAGAGAAAGTAAGTGGTCTCATTTCAGAATTAATTAAGAAATATATAACCTTTCTTTTGAGCATTGTTGAGTTTCAGCTGCTCAGACTTGTACATGCTCCTGCATGTCTCTACTTCAGCCTCCTTTTCCTGCCTAATTTTGGCGATGTTCGCAATTGTCTCATGGTACTTGCCAATGAGAACCTGTTGTTTCATCACATTTTGTTGGATGTCATAAAGGTCCACCCCCAGTTCTTCATGTTCCAACCTCTTTTTCTTGATTCCTGCTTTCTGTAAGAATGAGAAGAGATCAATTTAGTGCTTTTAGAATATTGCGATTGATTGTTTCATACATTTCTGCATGACATGAATCCTTAAATTCTTCTGACATTATACTGCAATTTATTTTTCTACCCATCTATCCAAGTGTTAGGTTCCACGGGCAACTGTAAGACTATAAGAAGCCTGAAAGGAAATTACCCCACAGCAATATCCCATACCATCTTTTTGGTTCCCTTCCTTCACAGTCGTCAAATCTGACTTTCCATCACATATCCTGCTTTCACTGAAAACGCTCTGATGACCATGGCAGAGAGGAGTTTTAACTGTCACATCAGTGCTAAGGGAAATGATGGCACATACAGCCTGTCCAGCGCTTAGGGGTAGCAACCCCATAGGTGGACTGCCATTTTCTGGCTAGCAACCAATTGGTGGGACTTCTAATTGCTTTCAAGGCATTACATGAACAGGAGTTACAGCAGGATAACTGTTTCGTCAGTGTTGGGGGAAAATACTGGCATACTGAGCAACAGAAGAATACTGTTTTGTAAGATCAGTAACACATATCATTAACACTAACAGTTGAAAGGATGATGATGATGATGTTTATGAAGTAGGAGAAGGTGCAACAAACCATCTGTATATACCTGTATATATGTACAATCCGATCACTATATTCCAAGGGGAACTATATGCTACAAGTCAGTTCAAATTTTGCATCTGCAGATGATACTGATATATTTGGTAGAATGCAAAAATCTATGAAAGAAGCTTTTCTTAATTTGGAAAGAGCAGCAAAAAAGATTAATCTACAAATTAACCAAAATAAAACAAAGTACATGCCGGTAACCAAGAAAGACTGTGCTAATGGACCTACATATATTGAAATTGGCTCATGTAAATTTGAGATTGCATGTAGTTTCACTTACCTTGGATCAGAAGTTAACTGTAAAAACGATATCAGTGATGAAATAAAAAAGCGTGTACTTGCAGCAAATAAATGTCTCCATGGCCTTAGGAAACACCCGAAATCCCAATTAATACCCAGGAAAACCAAAACTATAATGTATAAAGTACTTATAAGATCAGTGCTATCTTATGCCTCCGAGACCTGGCCACTGTCAAGATCGGATGAAAGACTGTTAAGTATATTTGAAAGGAGGATCTTGAGA